TTATTTCTTGTATTTAATTTTTAGAAATATCTGTATTTTGTATTGTATGATTATATACATATCCTGACTTGTCATACATGGCGTATGCTGTATTTATATGATAAATATATTATTATTATTATTATTATTATTATTATTATTATTATTATTATTATTATTAATTAACGGCAAAACATCCGTCCGTCTGGCCGTCACGCCGTTAAAATGCCCATTTCCATCGATTTCTGAACACTATTGCATTTGCGAGTTGAATAAATGTCTTAAAATGAAGTTTCTCGAAAATTCAAACATTTTATGTGAAAAAGTGATTCATACTTCTCATCAACGCTTAAACCTAATTTATATTTATGACGAGGTTTTATTGTTGTTTAATATTCTTAAATAAGTATTTTGGTTCTTCCATTAGAAAACGTCATAAAGAATTGAGAAAATGTCAAAAAAATTACGATTGAGCGGCGATAGATGGCAGCTGGCAAGGGGATGGGGCAAGACCGCAAAGCCAGTCCACAACAAGGAAATTAGAAAACTTTACTACGATAAATTCTGTGCCATTCTGTTGTACCACTAAATACTTTCTCATATACGTACGCATATACGGTGTAATGTACGTAGTACAGAGAAAGTTATGTAATGCTGAGCGAAAAACGGCGCAGCAAAAATTCATTGCCGGGCACTGATATCGAAAAAGAAGATAAATCCAGTTACTAAGTTAAGAAAACAATCCCCTAACAAGTGGTTTTACCAGAATCCCTGTATGTGAGTCCTTGATACCGCAAAATTTGTTGACGAGAAAACGCCTGACCGTCTGTGAATACCACTATTTTTGTCTTTTTGTCTTGGCGCGCGAGGCCGCGTCTTCACGATGGAATATCTCATGGTATTTCGCGTCTTTCTCGGCCGTGCCTCTAGATGTCGCATGATCGCGACCGTATCGCGCAGTGCTTGCGATCAACCCAAGTATAGCGCCTCTCGTACGTAGGATGTTTCCGAAATTGAAGAAATCCCTATCGAACTGGCTCGAGTTGAAGCTTTGAGATTTTGAGAAACATTATTTAAAATTTGGAAGTACTTTATATGAAGCAACAGGAACATTTTCAAAATTTTCTCAAAAACGGCTCCAAATGTTTTCTTTACATTTCTTGTAAGAATAGAGTAAAATACACTTATAAAGATGGCATAGGTCCGATTTTCAGGGTTAACGAAACTGAATTTTCGAAAATTTAAAAAGTTAGAATTATTTCCGGCGTCTTTCTACAATTACAAAATTTATGATGAAGGTTTTTTCTTCAAATCAATTTTTTTCTTCATATTTCTTTCTTCCATTAAGGTCATGTTGGAAAACAAATTACTACTCAGGTTTTGAATTCCATAGTCAGTAATTTCATTAAGATCATGTACATTTTTTGAAAATTTCAATAGTTTTCACGTAATATTGCGAGCAATATGTGGAATATTAAAAAATTACAATACAAAAACAAGATTACCTCAAAAACGTCGCCAAATTGTTTCTTTAAACGCTTGGTAGGGATAGTGCTAAATGCATTCTATAAAATGGTGTAAACACCATATTGTTCTGTTCTTTTGTTTTATCAAAAATTTTTAAAATGTCCTTTTTGTTACTTGTCTCTCCCGTCAATAATGTTGATATTAGCGGCAATTTCTTCGCATTATTTTATTTACAAGTACATGTGCTTTAAATAATGTCATATAAAGTTTCTCAAAAACTCAAGAGTATTCTGTAAAAATGTTCTAAAAATTTCATATTTTCAGAAATTCTCAAACGCCATTTTCTCAATGATGGCTTAAAAACGACTCTAAATTTATTCAATGAAAATTGCCATTTATGTCGTGGTTGTACTCTTCTTTAATATTCTTAAAGTCATATTTCGGTTCTATTATTGAGATAAATTGAGAAAATGTCAAAAAAATGTATTTTGGGTAAGTATTTCAATTTTTCGGTTTCCTAATAGTGATGGAACCGAAATATTACTTTAACATACTAAGAATATTATTGAAGAGTAAAACCTCGTCATATAAATATATTTTCGTTGAGAAATATAGAGCCGTATTTTTTAGAAAATCGCATTTAAGCGTAACTGCAGTAGATTCACATTTACATGTAAATGTGAAATTTCTAGCTCTTTTTTCACAGAATAATTTTGAATTTTTGAAAAACTTTATTGGAAGTCATTTGAAACACTTCCACACTACAATGCAATTAGGTATACTAATCACTGGAAATGTGCATTTAAAGGCGTGAGAGATATTAAAAGAAAATACATTTGTGTAATATTTGAAAAGAAAACCAAAAGAATAGAGACAAGTGATTTTTATGTCTTCTTAAACAGTGTAATTCGTACTATCCGTACAAAGAGTTTAAAGGAAAAAATTGGAGACTTTTTAAGGATTTCTCAAAATGCAGAAATTTGAGCTCGTTTTTACAGAACACTTTTGAGTTTTCAAGAAACTTTATAACATCATTTAAATCACATGTACTCGTAAATGCAATAATGTGAAGAAATCGCCGCTAATGTAAATATTAATATAATATAATGTAAATATATGTGAGAGACAAGTCATGGCATTGCATGGCATTGCAATTTGCAAAATTGCTGTATTACAATTGCATTTGCAAAATACCAAAATTAGAATACAAAAATCATTAAAAATTACAAAATTTACACACTACAAATTTTTGAAAAAAGAAAAGAATAGAGCGAAATGCCGTTTGTGTCATCTTGTAACGTTAATTTAGCACCATCCCTATCAAATGATTAAATAAAAAGTTTGGAGTTGTATTTGACCAAATCTTTTGTTTTTGTGTATATAAATTTTTATTGCACATATTGCTCGCAATATTGCGCGAAAACTACTCTAATTTTCAAAAATATTTACATGACCTTAATGAAAGAATTAATTATGAAAAATAATTTGAAGGAAAAATCTCTAATTTTGATTTTGTAGCTGTAGGAAGATGCCGGGAAAAAATTAAACTTTTGCAATTAGCGATAATTCAGAGTTAACCGTGAAAATCGGACCTATGCCATCTTTATAAGTGTACTTCTCTTTTCTCTATTCTTACAAGAAAAAATAAAAATAGAAATTGGTAGCCATTTTTTAAAAATTTTGAAAATGTCCGATAGACTTTTATAAAGTACCCCCAAATTTTAATGAATGATTTTCAAAATTGCAGAGCTTTGGCACAAGCCAGATTGACAGTATTTTTTGTAGTCGACATTTTTTAAGAAATTTTGAAAATGTCCGAAAGACTTCGGAAAGTACCTCCAAATTTTAATGAATGATTTTCAATATTGCAGAGCTTTGGCACAAGCTAGATCGACAGTATTTTGGGGGAAAAATCGTACGCATAATTTAGGCGCTAGTGTTGTTCACATACACCAGATGGACAGTCAGACAGACGGACGGACGGACGGTCGTTTTGCCGTCAATCGATTTTTCGCTTTCAAGGACCCACAAAATACGGATTCTGGCTACAAGACGTATTAGAAGATTTTTTTCTAAATTTAACAATTAGATTTGTCCATTTTTTCGTTATCAGGGCCCGGCAATACGAGTGTTTCTGCCGAAAATTCGCTGTTTTTCGCGGAGCATTGTATAAGTTTCTCTCTATTGCGTAAGCGGTAGCGAGAAAGCAATAATGAAATTGATTTTAGCAAAGTTGGTACACATAGTGAGCGATTTTCGTGAAAGAGGAAGTATAAGTGTAAAATAAAATTAGTAACTGCTCAGAGACAATGTACATCTATTAGTGACGCTAAATGCAATGAGGTGATGACAAGTGAATATAGATACGCAGAAAGAAGCACAAGGAACACTTTTGTAAATCCTCTTGGCAGATAAATTGATGGCGAACAATTAAGTGAACGGGAGAGAATGGTATGAACGCTCGGGACGAAAGGATATTTTGTTGTGGCGCAGGTGCGCCAAATTACTAAATTAGGGTTCAAAGTTATGAGAAGTTATTTGATGGGCTGAATTTATAAATTTAGAGTCGAGCAGTTGCGAATGGGTAGTTAAATTAATAGAGAGAGTTTTGGGCGAGATATAAAATTTAGTAGGAAATTCGGAAAGTTGTGTATGGAGTGAGGTGGACGCGGGATGTCGGTACGGGTATTTTGCTGATCGAGATGGGACTATGATAATAGAATAAAAACATTTTTCGCCTGACAAGAGGGCAGATCAGGAAAATGAAAAGACATTATTCTGAATTTGTAGGAAGACATGTCCAATAAAATAGCATCCAGTATAAATTATAAAAAAGAAATGCTTATAAAACATGGCCATGCATGAGGCGATGGATGAATAAATGTAAATGTGTTTAACGTGTGAATGAAAATTAATTGTATTTTAAAATTATATTTATTTTCTTGCATTTGATTTATTTGTTTTTGGTATTATTAGCGCCGAGCAGAGTAAGTCTGATGTATAGTAAAATTTGAATATTATAATAATTTAGAGAGGAAGGATGTTCACGTGTATAATTTGTATTGAAGATGATTGTTAAATAATTAAATATTTTCATGAAAGAAATATCAATGTTATTTTTTGGCAAATAATTAAAATTTAGAATATTTCCGGGAACTTACAAGAAATTGACATCCTGATTTCAGGGAGGGTTTGCTCTATTAACCCATATTATGTATTTTCTCAGGCCAATAATTCGCAAGTTTCATTAGAAATTAATGAGAAACAAATCTAGGCACCGGGCAGTTAAACTTATATTAACATAAAAAATCATTTTGTGTCACAAGGGAAGTGCAGTATTAGGTCTCACTATGAAGTAGTATAAAACTAGTTCTAATCACTAAATACTAAAAACGCCAATTTTAAGGGAAAACATTTATTTTTAAACATTGGTTGTTATTATGCAACTTCAAATATACCGCCATATTTCGTACTTTTCGATATCTCGATTTCTCGTGTTTTAATTTGCTAAAAATTCAACCAATGAAATTCTTTCTTGTCAGATTATTCTGTAGTAGGGATAGTCGGGAATGGTGGGAATGATTGGGGTACAGTTCGGAAGTTGTACATCAGGGTAGATAGATAGATGGATGGGTGGAAAGAATTGTGTATATGTGATCAGCTGTTTTATAATTTCTTAACTTATTTGTCCAAATTATTGAAAGAATATCCTTCTTTTGTGAAGTCGGGCCTTCAATGTCAAACGTGCCATTAAAGAACCTTTGAAATTTAATTTGCTTTTGTGATATGGATTACAAGTTTCCGCATTATTTCGAGAGAAGTATGGTGTTTTGCTTGTGAGGTGCTATCAACGGTGATGTGCTCATGAATGGTGAGCATGCAATCGAACGTTTCAAAAATAAATCAAGATTGAAGGATTTACGTGCAATAACGATCGATGTGCATCGCAGAGTGTGCGACATTGGACGTAAAATAAAGCCTTTACGTATGCTTCACACAAGACTGGGTAAAATTTTGGAGGATATGTGGTTTACGGCGAAGATTGACTTAATTAGTCTAAAGCAAGCTCTTTCAGTAGAACTAATCGAAGAATGTAAACATGCTGCACCTGGCGCTAGACTGTCATATCAGTTACGAACTAGGTTGGAAAAATTCCCACTTGACGTTAGAAACGAAGTAGCAAGTCGCACAGAAAATGGTAGTGCACCTTTATTTATAGCCTGTAAACGCGGACACGTTGAAATCGTTGAATATCTTGTTACTGTTTGTGGTGTGGACATGGAACAGCGTGGAATGTATGAAGTATCAGATGATCGTTCTGTACATTGTGTGACACCTTTGTGGTGCGCAGCAGTTTCTGGGAAGTTATCTGTCATTAAATGGTTAGTAGAGCATGGTGCAAATGTGAATGCTATTTCTGACACTGGATCAACACCAGTACGAAGTGCATGTTTTATGACACACGTTGATGTTGTTTCCTACTTGGTTGAACATGGTGCTGACATTCTCCGTCCTAATTATAATGGTGGTACCTGTTTAATAAATTCAGTTCAGAGTGTTCAGTTGTGTTTATTTTTATTGCAACATGGAGCTGCTGTGAACACCCGTGATATTCAAAATAAAACTGCATTGCATTATGCCATTCAAGAACACAGACTTGAAACCACCAAACTTTTACTGGAGCATGGTGCTGATCCTCATGCTCGAAGCAGATCTGGAGATGATGCCTTACAAACTGCATGCCTGAAAGGTGCTGTTCAGATATTTGATTACCTCATTTGCCATGTTAAGTATGAACCAGAACGATTAGCTGATGCTCATGAATTAATGGGATCAACCTTACTTGACGAACACAATGACACTGCTGCTGCCTTGCAGCATTGGAGAATTGCTACACAGGTTCGTTCCTTTTTTGCCCCTCACACAAAAACGCCAATTTCTAAAAAGCCTGTGATGCCACCCAGACCAGCTTTTAGAAATGCTGTAGAGTTCCTGTCTTTCAGTGATCTTAATAATGTGGCATTAGATTTGGATGCCATGAGAATTCAGTCTCTCCTAATTTGCGAAAGAATTCTTGGACCATATCACAAAGACACTTTATTTCGATTAATGTATCGGGGAGCAGCATATGCAGATGCTTTGCGATACCAGAGATGCATCGAGTTATGGCGCAGGGCTTTGGAAATAAGAGTGGAAAAGGACACTGTAAGTATTACTGATAATCTAATCTTATTGATTTTTGTTCACTAATCACATTCATTTTATATGTGTATTGTGAGATGTGTGTATTATTGCACAAGATTTTGTAATGCTAGAGTAAACAGTTGTTTTTGTGCTTGCATATTTAGATATAGTAGGTGCTGCAACAATGTTACTACAGTAATTTGTTTTGCATAGTAGCTAATGATAAGGTGACCAATCTACCTCCTTTAGGGAGGACAGTCCCTCATTTTTTCAGTTCTGTCCTTCCATGAAAAGTGTCCTTCTAACTGTCCTCATTTTCAATATTTTAAAACTAATATGTTAATCTAGTCAATCAAGATGGATTGTCGATACACGAACTGCAGCACTTACCATAAAATCAAATATGAAGGATATTTCTTGCCTGAATATTTCCAATATATTGTTAGAAAGTGATATATTGGCAAAAAATATTCATTCAATGGAAAAATAATCCTTTAAATAAAATAATTAAGATGGATGTAAGCATAATTAGTATTTTTGTTTGAATTAATAAAATGTTTCATTTATTTACGATGTCCTTTTTTCTTACATTTTTTGTCCTCCCTTTCATTGAAAAAAAATGGTCACCTAATTAATGATGAAATTATTGGTGTGCTGTAGTCATCTGTTTTATCATGTGTGTGCAATGAACCTTGCCACTAAAGGTCTGTTATAGAGTAAAATGTGATGTAATATGGGAAGTTTGAGGAGAGAAAGAATCATAAGTATCCTGTAAATCATATTATTTTAATTTCGGTGATCAATATTTTCTGATACTGACATGACAATTATGATGGCATTATAAGGCAAAATATAATTTGTTGTGTTGTACTTGGTTAGTAATGAATTGTAAATTAATTAAGTAATTTACTTGTGATTTGTTTTTGAATGAAGGTTGAGTTTTCTTGAAAGATTTCAGAATTATTATTCTTGATGAAATAAGAAAGTTGATGAAATAAGATGTAGTTACTTGGTTATTATAGTATATCACTGTGAAAGTGGTATTGTTTTATTTCTTGAACTTTGTGTAAAATGAGTTTAGGTTTTTAATTTAATCTATATAATTTTCCCCCCACAGATATTGTATAATGACACATGTTTTGCTGCTCAAGCACTTGTAAGATTGTTTATTGATCTTAATGAGAAAAGCCTTGAAACTCTGGATGCTGGACGTAGTGAAGGAGAACCACGCTTTGAAGATGTAGCTGCTGTATTTCAGTTGTTGGCTCGTGAACTGCCTGAGAAGAGGCAATTATTAGAGGTAGGATTGCTTCCATGAACAGGTATGATAACATTAATATTTGTTAGTCTAATATCAGTTTTTGTATTTTGTCTAGGTACGTCCCATTCAAAGAAGGCAACAAGACAGTTATGATCGGATCTTAAAATGTATTACACATTTAATTTATTTATTGGTTGAAACTGGGAAATCTAATGAACAAAAGGAATTGGTGCAAGAAATGGTAACTTCTCTCATTCGAACAAATCCTCGATCAGCCTCCTCTGGAGACACTATTTTACATTTGTGTGTGTCAAGACTGAATACCATAAAAAGTTCCTATTTCCATGATGATAACCAGGTAAGGAGTAAAATATATGCTGTGTAATTTTAAAAATATATAGCCAGAGTATTTGTTATTTTAGCATCCGTTAGCACTGTTATTTTGAGGGAAGTTATTGAGATTCACAATTATTTTGAAAAATTAGAAAATTTTTAAACTATTGAATTTGAAATATTTGTAAAACAATTTAGATTTCATTTGTTTGTTTATTTTCTTCAGATAATTTTTCCCAACATGGATGTCATTCGGTTATTATTGGACTGTGGAGCTCCAGTGAATGCAAGAAATGAGTCTCGATCAACACCATTACATGTTGCTGCAAATCCATACAACTTTTACAGTCCTGTAAGTGCTGTGAGAAATGTTTCTTAACGATTCATCATTTTATTTTTGAGCCACATAGACAATCAAAACTGCACAGGAATTTAGGGTCCCGATTTTTTCTTTCAATTTCCCATCCTTTATTGCTTGCATATGTTGGCCAGAACTTATTGCTCATGGCACAGCTTTTAATTCATTATCTTTTTCTTAGATTTATAACTAGAGTTGGATACTTTTTTTATTGTGAGGGTAGTTGCTGTTTCTAATTGTAAAGTATGATTGATGTTATAAAAAGTTCGAATTTTTTTAAAACATCACTTGCCAATGCAAAAAGTCTTGAGAGTGGAAAATTATACTGGGCTGTAAATACTGGGAAGTCTTGAAAATTGTGTATATTTCACTAAATAATTTTTTTACAAAATATTGTAGATAAAGGATTTTTTTATCAAACAAATACTAAAATTATAATACTTAGACCCATGTAATAGAATTTTGAATTTTGAAAATGTTTGCAATGAAAGTGAAAGTATGCTGAACTTTGAAGCTTGTAACCTTTTTCTGTTTTGCAAAAAAAAAAATTATTTTGCAGTTAGTTCAACTCTTGCTGGAACATGGTGCACACTTGGACCAACCCAACAAAGCAGGCGATTGCCCAGCTATTTTTGTTGCTGTCAACCCATTGAACAATGTCCATTTGGTTAATTATGTGACATTGCGCTGCCTAGCTGCTACAGCTGTGTGCAAGTACAAGATTCCTTATCAAGGTCAAATTCCTCAAACTCTGGAAACCTTTGTAAGATTTCATGAAGAATAGATGACTTACTAATTATTTCAAGGAATAAGTTATTTATATCTAGTGCAATAAAAGAAAACTAACCAAATAGATCAGTTATTGCTACTTGTGAAGTGTGTTTTAAATTGTATGTCTTTAAATTGTAATGACTAGAATCATTTTACAAAGTATTATTTTATTTGCAGTTTTTCTTTCTTTCTTGCAGTTGCTTTTTTTTTTACTGCTTTGCTTTGTACGTTTGTGTAATGGTGAAAAAGTATTGAAAAGGCAAAAATTAAATTTTGATATTAAAATTTTTTTCAAGAAAATACATTTATTGGGTTTGCTGACTTTTGTAACCACTTTAATAATTTGTATTTTTCTTCCTGTAATTAATGCACCTTTTATTTAACTTTATTTTCCATCTATTTATTGTTATGTCTGTTTATTTACTAAAATTCATGTTGTGTACTCATAAATTGTTGATATTCAATAAAGTATTACTATAGGTATTATTTTTATAATAAGAATGGAGTTAAGGCTTTCTCAATAGTAGCCTTAAAAAATGCTTTTTACATACAAATTCACAATGCTGAATAATGTTAATTTTTCAATGATTTACCTATTGCTTGTAATACTGAAATTACAGATCTAAAATATTAAACTGGCTGTCAAATTACGTCTCGTATGTTCAGCAGTTTCATCTCTGATTGTCCTTATACACTCTTCAGATTCAAAATTTCATGTATTGTCCAGTGTCATGGCCAAACTAATTTAGAAAAAATAATTTAAAACTGTTTGAAGTGGTTCCTATTACAACTCAGTCTGAATGTATCTTTTCACAAATTATAAAAAGGTGTATTGATCATTTAGTTCGGTGAGACAAATAACAAAAGCTATTACGTGGAATCCCAGTGGGAACAACAGATGAGCTTTCACCTGTAGAAACAAATGTGGAATGTTACATTTTTAGAACATTTCTTGTAAACTTCAAATCCAGGAAGCTTCTTGTTCCTGAAGGTTTTGTGCAAAAATAAAACAACTCTTGATTGCCCGCACATGCACCAGACAACATACAGTAATTTTCTTGGGTTAAAACACAAAGGATCCATTACAAGATTTATTGATTTTTGCTTAATTTAAATTTAGGAAGTGGTGGAAAAGCAGGTATGTTAGTAAGCTGTACGTCACAAGTCTCTCTTAACAGTATTGCTTTCATATTTCAGAACTTAAGCTCTAAAAATCTGATTAATGGAAAATTAATGAGAAAAAATCTAATTTTATCTAATCTACTCTTCCATCTTTCTAGAAAACAGTATTTTTGACAAATTGTTGTGTTTTTGTTGTCTCTTCCGAAGAAAGCCAATTTCTTTTTTATTTATTTAATATGTTATTTTTAACCTATGATTTTGTGTTTGACTTGAGTTGGACCACTAGCAATAAAGCGTCTTTTAATTTTTTTAATATGAGCAGTATTTCAAAGCCTAATTGTAAATAATTTTATTTGTTGAATTGAGACATGTTGGTTTACAACCTGTGCAGAATACAAGTATTTTCACTTTATTGAAAAATGTTTTATTCATAACAAATAAATGTATTTACTTCTAATTTATATTAAACAGTATAAGTTGTTTCTACTTTATGGAGATATTAATTCTTTTTTTGTAAGGGGGGGATTTTATTTTTTGAAATAAGCCCCTGTTTGAACTACTGTCCCAAGCCTTTTTTTTGTCTGGGCGTCATTGGTTTGAGATCTTATTGTAGGGGACATTTTCATTGTCTGAGGTAGGTCAATAAATAAATAATCCCAAATTTGACTTTAAGAATAATTATAGAAAGTCAAAGACATTTTTTACAACATAGGCATATTTCAATAATTTAGTAGCAATTTTCTGAATTTTTGAATGGAATATCTTTTTTGTTATTAAGAAATATTAGTTTATTAGACAAAATCAAAACCTTGAGTTTGATCCAATAAGCCTTGAACTGAATGTGGAAATCTTGCCATGTCTAGAAATGCTATTATTTTACAAGCTATTATAATTTATTTTTTTAAGTGTTGCAAGATAATGAAATATGAGGTCTTTCAGAAAGCAGATTTTTATACAGTCTTTCAAATATATCTTCAGAATTAATACATGCTGTTCAGAGAAATAGCCTATAACTTATGTGTATCAGGATTAGAGTTTGAGGCCTTTAACTTTTTCACAATTATTTCTTAATTTTGTATATATTCTGAGAATACTAGGGTCCAATTTTGGATCTTTGTTTGTTTATAATGTAGTGGCTAAAAATACTCCAATACCTCGTCTACTTGCCTTTAGTAGTTTTGGATTAATTTTCTGATTGGAACTTGCAATCTAAAGTGTTAACCAGTATCATAATGTAAATTTAGTAAACTGTTAAATAGAAACTAATTACATTTATCAGTATATTGATGATATGAAATAAAGTACATTCAACAAGTACTATGGTGAAAACCATTGTTAATAACCCAAAGAGGACTATTATATTATTTATCTTTGTGTGGGTTTTGTTATTACAGTACTTTATTCATGATCAACTTTTTTTGTGTGAGAATGCTAGTTATCTTTCTTTGACACAGCCTTTTAATGTGTAAAAGTGTTGTTGAAATTGACAGCGTCTTTTAAATTTCTATCAAATAGAATTGTGAACTACTACTATTACTGTGAGTTACTGTTAATTATTGCTTTAGTATTTAGTGTATTGTTTATACAATCTTTGTCAAGCCCTGAAAAATATGTTTGTGAGACACCTTAAACCCTAGATCAAAATGCCAAATCCAACCTTCAGCTATGTGAGAGACTTCAGGTGCCAGCCCCGGCAAAACTTTCTGACTAACCATTTTTTAAATTTTGTATCTCTTCAAATGCTTGCATGTAATTTCTCCTGACAGTGTAATGAACTACCAATGACTTTGGGCAGAACACAGACTCGGGACTTAATGGGAGCCTTAACCAAGCTCTTGGACAGCTGAGATAACCACAGTTATGTACATTAGGGAAATTTATTCGACCTCTGTAAATAAGTTGATATCTCATGAAATCTAAATCTTTCAGAAGGGCAACATATCCTGATTATTGGAATAAATATTTTAGCCTGAATTAACTGACAACTCCACTTTATGTTCACAAATCATTGAATAACTTAGTACTTTAGTATGAAGTTTGTAAATTCATATGGCCTCATTCCTTGGCAATCTGTACTGAGTATTCACAATTATAGAGAATGATTAGGAGTCAGTTGTGTATATATCTCAATTTCAGCATAAAAGTTGACTTATCAGGCTATTCACTGGGGTGACAGAAATTTTCTGGATTGTAATTGAGCTGGCTGGGCATTGCAGAATTATAAAGTTGCAATGCTGGAAGAAAACACCAACCACTAACTAGTAGCCATACCATACAAGAAAGGGAAAGGAACTTGTGCAATAAAAATACGAACATTTTCACTCATCTTTCCACTTTCATTAAAACAAATTGATGTATTAATTTATTTTATTGATTAACTGGAAGCAAAAATTCTGTAATTGTTTTTATTATTATTATTAAATTATAATTTCCTTACATTATCGTATGTACTAATGTAAAAAGATTTCTTGAAGATGTTCAGAATATGAACTAAAAAATTCATACTTACCCCTATCTTTTTTTTTGTTAAGTTATGGTTTGCCGATATAAAACAAGAGAGATGTATAATTTCACGAATTTGGCAAGTAAAATTATAAGTAATTGTTGGTTTCATAAATGTGTTTCTTGGCATTTATTTGTGAAATTTTGTAGCAGATATTTTTGGTAAAATTTCATATTTTGCTTTTTGATTTGTAATTATTTTGAAGTAAGGAATTGTCAACAATTGTGTAGTTTAATATTTGTGTGAATATCAATTTTTTAAATAATGTTAATGCAGATAGTTTACAAATTATCTTTCACAATTTCTGTTGTGATTTAATTTTAAACTGTATTCCTCTCCTCATTTTATTATTGTACTTTTGAAGTACATAATGTTCTTCACTTCTTGAGAGCTGATCTTCAATTTCTAAGTTCTTGTGAAGTATAAATTTGGAACTTATGGTTTGTGTGGATGCAAGAATATATCCTAAGCTGCAATGGCTTGCTTGCCACTGCAATTTTCCTTTTTTTTTCTTTCTATATTTTAAAACTCATCTTGATAAAGTAGGGAAGAAACACAAAGCCAATTTCCGCTTCTTAGAATAATGTCAATATTCCACAAGAGATTTGTGATATACTCACTCTTTCCTGTCTTGAGAGATAAAGTATTCTTTAAGTCGTTATTTTTGCTTTGCCTAAAACTATTTGTACCCCCCCCCCCCGCCAAGATGTGTTTTTGGAATATTGAAAAGATTTGAGTTGAATCTATGTCTGATATTACTTTCCAAAATAATTTAATTTGAAGTACCCATGGAACATTTGGCAATAAAAATGGAGTTCCTTACATGATGCTGTTTTTCTTACACACAGCTGAAATTGAGTTTCTTTGAAAAATATGAGTTAAAAAAAATTAAAATAACTTGGTCTTTAGAGTAGGTATTCTCTAACTGTAACTCCAAGGAAATGGGAGGTGTGGTGTGTGAACAATTTTCATGAGAAAGCTGGAAGAAGAAATTAACCTCTTACTGAAAACTTTGAGTACCCTGAACTTTCAATTTTTTATGCAATTGAAACCTGATTATCCTTGTGATTCAAACTCAGTCACCAAAAATATGTACTATAGTAAACCCAGTTTGAAATTGGACATCCACTGTCAACTGGAGAAGCAAATATCAGAGAACTATGTCACATCACTTAAACAAGCCATTTTAAAAATGTTGATAATTTTTAATTTTTGAACTCTGAAGTTAGTACTATTCAGAATATATTCTATAATCGTTTATAATTATGATTGTGTGTGTATATGTACACACTATACTTACATATATACTGTTAATCTATTATCAGTATTCAGACACAAATACTGGATTTACTTTGTTGTTATATGTTGAAATCCTGAAATTATTTATTAAGAATTTAACAGATTTTTTCTAAAAATGAAAATGCCTTTGTAATTAATCTAGATATTTAAAATTTGATATTTAAGGATATTTCATCCAGATTCAATAAACTCTTGTCATGTCAGGTGTGAGACGTATAAGTTTTAAAAAGTTTGAAAACTTCAACTGTATCAATAATTGCAATGATGATAGATAAAAGATAACAAGTAATTTTTTTGTATTGAATTATACCTAGTATCCTTGTTACGGAATTTTTAAAAATTACAAATTCAAAATGGAAAGGTTTCTTTGCAGAAACGGTTATTATACTTTCATCCTAAGAGGTTGTCAAATTAAGAATGGTTTTCAGGGTTTCTTCAGGTAGAAAGTAATATATTTTTCTTTATAATTAATTTTAATTCTTGATATTTGGTATTTAAACATTCACTCGTATTATGAACTTTAGCCCTAAAATGTTCATTCTAAACTAAAGGAGTGTAGAAGAAAAGTACATGAACCTCCTGTGAATAAACAGATCATCGAAGTTTTTAATGTCTTGATGTTTTAGCATGTTTCCAGAAGCTTTAATGGTACATTAGTTAAAGATAAGGGAAACTGAGGCCTAAATTGTATAGATTAGTACTTTTCTTGAAATTAGCCTGTTGAATACTCTATTGTTCTTGTTAATTCGGTTGTAAAGATTGTAAAAAGACAGTGAATATGAATTCTTGTATAATTTACATTTCTCCTTTTTCATCATATGTCAAAGGCCTACATTCATCTATAATGTTACAAGTGTTTCATTAATTTATAATATGTACAATGAATATCATCAATTTAAAGGCATTGCCTATTTAAAATTGATATCTTATCGTACTATGTAAAATGTTTTAATTCTGTCTTGGAACTGTTCTTGTTGTACAGAACTGTTAATATATATGTATTTGTTTTTCCTATTCTTGGAAAACATTCCTAGCTCATGTGTCATTGCTTTCTGGTAATAATTTTTGCATCACATTGCACAAACTTATGAATTTTGATGCAAACATGATTTATAAGTAATGGCTTATGAATTTGTAACTTTTATGATTTAATGATAGTCTTCCTGTGCATTTATTGCCAATTTTAAATTTTAGATTAAAACTGTTAGAATTAGTAGTAAATGTAAATGTGGAAGTGGAAATATAGTATTTACTTTTTAGATTATGTGTTATATGTTGAGTAAAACATACTGTAATCTCAATTGTATTTTAACCTATCATTTGAGAAAATGTTTTAGAATGACTGTAGTGTTTTAATGTCTTGTGATTTGCAAATGAAGTGTTTCACCCTTTAACTAATAAATGAATCTGTAAAGATTGCATATATTTTCTGCTATAATTATAGTTCTTATCATTAGTTTTATTATTTTGTACCCTTGATTTTGAACCCAGTTGATAAATTCCTTTGAAATCTGCATAATATTTCACTTAAAATACATTCATCAGAAAGAAATGACAAATTCATATCTTTCGATGAAAGTCATGTTTATCATTGTTGTTTCCTTTTTCAAATATTTGTGATGTACACTAATTAAGATGACAGCAGTTATTTTGATCATTGAAAAACCTTAAAAAATACATAAGTAGACATCCTGAATACAGTTCCACTCACTGAGTTGCTTTTGAGCAACAGTGATGGCTAAGACCAGTTGTAACATGTTTACAGTTCAACAAAGTCCTATATAAATATATTATTCTTTCAAAGGCATTAATATTTTGGACTTGTAATTTATTTTGATAAAAACATGAGCATAAATCACACACAAGAACAGTGTTTCAGTCCTAAAATCATGTATTGTTGTACTTCATGTATTAAAGAAATTAAGTATAAGAAGGTAAGTAGAATCTGTCAGAGGTATAGTACAATGAAGAAGAAGAGAAATCCATAATTTCTCATAAAATCGTAAATACTGAGACTGTAACATAATAACCTATACATTTGAGTATTTAATTCACATTATGTGAATATTCACATAAATTTGAGTAATTCACATTATGTGAATTTATGTGTTTCTTTTCACCCACATTGGACTGACTTGTCTTATGTACTGTCTTGGACTGACTTGTCTATGTACTATATTATCTGATCAGGATCCAAAAAATATTTTAAGATAGAAATGTTGTACGTGCATGTGACTTATGATCATGTTCTTTTCAAAAGAACTATTATTTCTGTAAATCTTGATCTTCTAATGAATAAATATTTTAAACACAATAATTTTGAAACCTTAAGTGTATTTGCAGCTTTATTTTAATAGCTAAATCACAATTGGATGTCATATCTCAGTAGCGTGTATGTTGCTAACCAAGAGAGCTATGTTGACAGTGCAATCAGTTGCAGGCATTTTCTCTGTAGTCAGCTGCTTTATAAGATGATCTAGGTAAATACCAACATATTTTTGGTTCAAGCAATCAAATAATGTGTATTCTTTTTATGATTTCTGCATCTGTTTTAATATGTAACCAAGAACATAGTTATGTGCAAGAAATAGTATTAAATTGTTGTTGGGAACACCATTTTCATAACACTTGTGAAGGTTTAATACTGTTCATGTGGATCCTGTTACCAGCAGTACAGCAGGCTTATAGAAATAACTATTTCCCTTCAACCTTATCATTTCTTTTGATTTTTTCGAAGTGTACTTTTTTATTTCAAATGTTTTTTCCTTTTTAAACATTTTAATTCAGCCTCATTTTTTGGAAGTCTTTCATTTTACAATTTATGGTATGAATAAACTGTGTTGAATGTATTCATTAATGCTGAAATTGATTTTACCCAAAATGGATTTATGATTCACAAATAAAAGCAGTCTTGATTTTCTGTACAAAAGTGTCGTGTGGACTTATGAACACATACTTATCCATCGTTTTGTATCCAAAACTTTGAAAAATATGATATGTTTAATTTTTTCCATATTGGAATAAGTGCCACAAATAGTTTTTAATTGTGAGGAATTTCTTCACTGCATTCAAGTAATATATGCAGCAGAGACGGATAGGCCTTTACATCTGCAGAGCTTCACCTACAGCTGGGTTTGTTGACAACTGGGCCACTCAGCCACATTTACGATTTTTTTCTTTTTATTTCATTTTACATAATTTTCATTCATTATTTTCTGTTTAATTTTTTGTTCTCTTACATACTTTTGTGGGAACCTTCAGCACTTGCCACTATTCCACATTATATAATAAACTTGGCTCATTGGAAATAAAAGAAAATAGAATTCAGGTTCAATTTGCATGCATGTTGGTCCCTATGGAAATAAGCCGACATATGGATCATTTTATTTCAATTAGGTTTCCTTTCAACCAGCCATTCTGATGAAACACAATGTAAACAAGTATACAGAAGAATCTTTTAAAAAAACACAAACATTAAGTAAAGTAATTCTATTTCTGTCAGTTCCCTGAATGTTAAAAATAAATCTGGTCCATTCTTTTTGTGTACATCTAAAGTTTGATCAAAGATGAAGCAAAATAAAATGATGTAGATAAATTATTATGATTAGGACCATTTAATACTGTTTTATTCAAAAGTAGACTCTATCATGATGTCAAGAAAGCACAAATGGTTTGCTTTAAATATGTTTAAAAATATAGTGGAACTCTTTCGAATGACCATTACAAGTGAGAAGTTTGATGCAAATAGGAAGCAAATTCAATAATTTCATTGATATACACACTGTATCATGCAAAAAATTGCTTTTTGATGGGTGTTAAAAGGACTGCCACCAGTAGATCTCATGTTATCCAATGGAAGAGCAACCATAATCAAACAAACACAGACAGTTTTCAGAATTTGAAGTGAATTAAAAGATATTCAATTTTGTGGAGATCTTTAAGAAGAATCTGTCCAAGACATCAGTGACATAAGAATAAAAATATTCCATCCCAAAGTACAGTAATATAATACCATGAAGGATCAGTGATAGTGTTTACTTAGCAGTTATATAGAAACTATATAAACATGGTAGAAATTAAAGATCAAATACCAGACATTTCAAAATGATCATCAGCCTGTTTATCAAATCCTATTAAGTCTGAAGGATGCCAAAGGTGTTACGGAGCTGGTGAGGAAGTATACGGGGGCCATGAAATGTGGTTCTACAATGTTTTGGAACAGGAAGTGACAGATAGAGAGTATGTGGCTCAGAGGCAGGAATTGGCGGTGGGGTCGGGGGCAAGAGGAGGCAACTGCCCCTGTCCCGGCAATATTGGGACAAATTTAAAAACATTTCACAGATCTTCAAATTTATATTATAAAAGATTTACTTTTTCCTGTATTCTGAAAAGAAATTTAATAATAATTAGGTGAGGAAAGATTTTATTAAGATGAGCTTACAACATTCATTAATAAGATGGTGAACTTTATATCAGTATTTTGAAACATGTGGAATAATGTTTAATGTTACTGTGAATATCCCTCATTAATAAATCATCATTTAATTATTGCTTTTAAATGTAATTTACTTTGAAATTAAACACTTTGGTGCCTAAAATCATGAGACTTTTTTCAAAACCTTGAATTAACTCACAAAAAGAAAGAGTATTGCCTTTTATTATTCTTATACGATACATGGTACTCAAATTTCAAAATATAGAACAAAATCTTCCTTGTAATTCTCAACAATTTGGTACATTACACTAAAATATGCTTTCAGACTGTTACATTCCAATTATGAAGTACTTTTTTAAAATTTTTTAGATGGGTTTTTATTAAAATAAGATACTCTATTAAAAAGTATTTTAATTATCTAAAATTATTTAGAATATTTTTGTAAGGCATAAAGACATATTCTAATTTTTTAATTCAAATATAAGAATAACAGATTTTGGAAATAACATTTAAAAGTGCGCATTTTTTACAAAAATTTTACATTACAGTTTCATAAAAAATATTTAAATTATCTTTGAGAAACTAATATTAATTTTAATAAAACTTTATGAAAAGCATTATGCTTATTGCTTGTAATGCAACACCACCTATTTATCTAGATATCTGGTGTTGGTCCGTTGCGGCGCGAAGCGCGGCGAGACCCTCGGGTGTCACCGAGACCGAAATACCATTGGTCAAGAAGACCATGGCACTCCGTTCCGAAAGCGCGCGAGTCCGCTCGCGCTGCACGCCGTTGCCGTTCTTCATATCTGAAATGGAACCGGCAATATTTGTTTTGTTTTGTTTTTTTAGGAAGTGCTGCTCTAAAAAAAACAGAGTTGCTTAAGACCTAAAAGGACTTGTCAGATTTAGGAAAAGGACTGATTCTGTGTTCCCTTAAAAGGGCTGGTATTAAAATTTTCGAAGACCCGCAGTGAAGGTGAAAATATTATTAAGTCCAAAAATTAATTTTCGGACTTAAAAATTAATTTTCGGAAAGCTCCGCTCCCTAGGTCCAGGGAGCACGGTGCCAGCGCTCCGGGAAGACGGCGGCCCAGCCCGGTGGCGTCTTCTTCCCTCCAGATGATCTCCGTCAGTCCCGATGTTTTCGGAAACGAATAATGATTAATACCTTACACTTTGCCTTTTATACCTTGGCACGTGAGAGCCTATCCTCACAGCATTTCGCTTGTTTTTCGGTCCTGCCACTAGATGTCACGTTTGCGACCGTATTGAGCAGTGCTGACAATCTTGCGACATCTATCGGCACGACTGGGAAAGACGCGAAATGCATTGAAATTTTGTTTGGTTCTCACGTGCCAAGTTTGTAAAGTTTGACTCTCACGTGCCAAGAAATAAAAGCCCAACCTTATGACGTCTGTTGGACGTGCACGTGCGGGCGAGTGGGTAGGCGTGGATGATAGCAAGTGTTGGATCATGTTGGATTGAGGATTGAAAGGACAGACAATTTATACGACTGAATTTCGGACCTAAAACATTCCAATAACACGTTTTAATAAATCGCTGCACAATGTTGGACGGAGTGAAACACATCATTATTGTTTTATCTGGGAAAGGAGGCGTGGGAAAATCCACTGTCAGTACCCAGCTCGCGTTGTGTTTGAGAGAAGGAGGATACAAGGTACTTTATTGAGACCTGAGAGTCTAGTTGTATAATTTCCCCTGAAATAACACAGTGAATAATTAAAATAGTTAAACTCCTGCTGAGTTATGGTTCTAGTATCAGTATTTTTTCTGCAGGTGGGGCTACTGGATGTGGACTTGTGTGGTCCTAGTATTCCTCATCTTTTAAATCTCGAAGACCAGGATGTGCATCAGGCCCCACAAGGGTGAATGTCCGCTTGACTTATCTTGAATTTTTCTAGTTTTCACTTGTATGTCGAAGAGTGCATTATACATATGTTGCACGATGATACTGTCGTGTCACATACAGTGATACACTAAGAATTCTCATATTCGGCACGTCACTGCTTTTGAATAGCTGAACATGAGAATAAGTGAAGAAACACAATTAAACATTTGCATTATTCAGACAAAACTTAATTGTTTTTGGATTTTTCTGAGCATCTGGGTACCTAGCAAAATTGTTCATCATATCACGAATTTAAAAAATATTTGGTGGCCCTTATCCAACAGAAGCCCTAAGCATGTCATTCTTTTGCATTAATACACTTTTGTATAGAAGAAAATATTAACATGTTATCCTCTTTCACTGTTCACTCCCTCAAGTTGTATTTTATTTAGAAATGTTTCCATTATTTTATTAAATGGGTGCCATTGCAATGAACCATTTGACTACAATGTTTTTTTGTTTTGTTTTTTTAAATTTCAGATGGATTCCAGTGTATGCTGATAAAGAGAAACAATTAGCAGTTATGTCTATCGGATTCTTGTTGAAGAGTAAAAATGATTCAATAGTTTGGAGGGGACCAAAAAAAACAGGTGACTTTTGGGTGTTTGCTCTAAAGTACATCATTATGAAATATATTGGTCAGTTTGTAGTGTTCATAATTGTGTATTAATGCTCAAGAACATTCAAGGCATTACTCCTTATACAGTCTCAGCCATCTATTCTTCTTTAATAAAACACAACATTTTCTTGGATTTCTTTTAAAAATATTTATTTCATAAGTATCTCATCTTTGCTATTGTAATTATCTTTACCATTGTGGAATTTGACATTTTGTTTTTAATCCAAGTTTCTGTATTTATTTGAACATCATATTTAGTGGATTAGTTCTCTTATGTAATGCTCCTTTGTCTATTGATTACCATTAACTGTGTGTGATTTGTGTGCCACATTTGGTGGTACTACGCTTGTCTAATTCTGTCTCCCTTACAGGTTTTTATAACTCTTTTTCAATAACATGTGGCTTAGATGTGATGAAAATATTTAAAGAAAAATTATCCTCATGGAAGGTAATAATAAAAATCCTGTATATTTGTTTCAGCTATGATCAGACAGTTTTTAAATGATGTATACTGGGAAGATCTTGATTATTTAATTATTGACACCCCACCAGGAACATCTGATGAGCATATAACTGTAATGGAAAATCTGAAGTAAGATTTCTTTCTAATTAGTGTAAAAAATATTTTATATTATTTACTCACTTCCACTTATCAAGTTGTGATGATTCATTATCAAGTACCATTAGGGTCTGAGATTTTGCATTGTGTCTTTAATGTTGCATAGAGATACTGTTTATTATTATCCAAATCAAAGGAACTGCAATATTTGAAATTAACTCCATTGAGAAGGAGCATGAGACAGATGTTATTCTTAAAAATGGAAACTGTGATAATGACAAAATACTCTTGTGCTCACGCAAAAATGACTGCACAACAGTAACAAATTCTTCCTGGCCTTACAAGTAAAGTTTGATATTTCTTTCAGTAAGCATTTGTTTGGAGCAGTTCCGAAACTAGTGTGTTTTATACAGTCTGTAGTTTAAGAAATCCATTACATATGTGGTCTGAAATCAGTGCACAAATTTTAAAGCTCAATTCAATAAAATCTGTTTAAACCAGATCCTGTACAAGCAGGAAACCTACCTTAACTGGAAAATTCTCTGGCCCTTAGAGTTAAATAGCATTTTACACAGCATAAAATGGAATACATGCAATGAGGAAATGGAATGGTTTTCAAGTCCTGCTGAGGAAAAAAAAATCTTTTTAAAATGGAATTTCTGTGAATTTAATGCAATTAGCAGAGAAATGTGAGATATTTTTAATGGAATTAATGTATCTCTGTTTTAATGAATTCAATGCAAATCTGTTCTTGTGACCTGTGATTTAGTCATGGCAGCCGCGCAGTGGAGAGGGGATTTCAGTTATCAGCATAGAATTTGACCTTTGGGTTCCTTGACACTCAAGGTGTAAGGCGTAGGGGAATTCTCTCCCTCCTGGCTGTCTGAGCATGGGAAGGTTTTTGGGCAGGGGTTCTATTCATGCATCCCCCTGCCTTGCGTTGAGGATTATAGCCCCTTGGCTGGAGATGTATTGCTAAAAGGCCATGCGAGGTTATAGAAGACCATAGTACTCTACTCGTATATGAATTGTCAAAATCTTTTACATTTCTGAAAGCAATTCAGTAGATAGACAAAGCAGTAAAATGTGTAAAGCTTTAGACCTTCTGAAAGTCCTTCAGGCAAGTTTTTCGTCTGTTGGTGTGGACAAACTGCCAGCAGTGAAAAACATTGAAGACGCAGTTGGCGGTATGAATACTCTACACACAATTATGGTAGTGTGTGCTGAAGAAGTAATCTATATTGATAAAGATGTATTTACAATGGAGATATTAAAACTAAAACTGGCAATATCATTTGTAGATCAGTTACTGAAGAAGAGATTGCAATTGGAACAAATCTCTCCGTACATACCTTTTCTGAAACCCTGCAATGTGATCTAAAATTAAAATGGTGTTAGGAAGTGGAAAAACAAAAAAACTCTAGATAAATATTGGAAAAAGTATTATTTTAGTGCACAAATTGCAAAGTTTTTCTTTTAATGTTTAATATTCATTTATTGGTCATTTCTTTCATAAATATGTTTTACGTCAGTGTATTTTAATAATTATAATAGTCACATAATGAACTATTTTCAGGATGGAAATATACCACATGTCTCATAAAAAGGACAATCCTACATAAAAAAGAAACCTCCCTAAACTGAAATTTTTTTGTCTGATCTATTCTGGCTCAGATCTTACTGTAATAATACTAATACTAATTACTCAATGATCAAGTGTGAAGAAAGTACAGATGTCATATACTCCATTTACAGAATACTAATCAGTGACAAAATATTACAATATTTATCAATACAAATTTGAAATATGTTCCAGATGAATGTTTCAACAAGCTATAATTGATGCACATGTTGCTGTTGTACCTAAAGTTGAATTCTAGTTGTTGTCAATGAACCAACAAATAAATATTTTGTTAGTTACCAAATTAAACGGCAGAGACAGTTCTCATAAAAGTGAAAATAAGCTGAACACCCATAACTTGCAGTAATAGTGACACTGCTACTTCACTTCATTTCACTTTAAGCCTCAAATGTATGCCAAAGACAAATAACCAACTTGTAGGGCAACTGGAAGTCCATGGGCATCGTTGTTTCAGGAATTTCTTACCCCAAACAAATGTTTATCTTTCCCAAGTTTGAGGTGTAAGTGAAATTAAAGAAAGAGTAACTGCAAAGGAAAATTCTTGAAGGGTCTTCCTTAAAAACTTTAGCGTGAAGATGCCCATGAAATATGTGTATCTTGTATTGAAGTCAAAGTGTTTTAACACTATGTATGCAACGTGTCCTTGTTTCAGAAACAATGTTTCCTTTGTAATGTAATATGAAAGTTAATGCATTGCTACATTGAAGTAGAATAATGTGATAAGAGATATTGGCTGGTGTTTTTTCCATTGTTATTGCCTGAAGGTTTTCCTGGATGTATTATTTATGAATTGTTAATGTATCAACAATTTTAATAATTTTGAGGTTTTGTTGGTAGAACATCATGTAATGTCAAGCATCTGTTTTGTGAACATTGTGGTATGCAAAACTGAATAATTTAATTTTCTGAGCTCTAAAACTATGATTCCAGTGCAGTGCATAAAGAGCTTTCATATTTCTCTTGGCTCAGTAAAATGATTGAGAAAGATTAAGGGCTTGCAAAGGGGAGTATGCGTCTCTTCAATCCACTGTCTTCAATTTTAGAATTGATAAGTACATAACTTTTCGAACATGATATGCACTATAGACATATCATTTTCTAGTAATACTCCTGCAAGAAGAAACAACATCTATCCTGGATTAATTTAAAGGACGAATGACTAAATTGCATTTAAATTAAACTACAATTTCAGATGTCACAAAATCAATTTCATGTCAGAAAACTGCCGCAAAAAGAATTTTCTTGATTTTAAATACAGGATTTAGGACAGTAAATTTTGACTTAAAGATGTCGGTATTCATTTGCATATTGGATTCCAGATTGTATTCATTTGCATTTTGTATTGTATATTTGTATATTGCATTGATTTGCTTATTAAATTAATTTGCATTCCAGTCTGTATTCTTTTGCATATTGCATTCTTCATCATCATAAAAGTTGCAATTTCTGTAGCCATGCCTTATGTCACGATTTAAACTAGTCCCAAAAAATTCTTGGTTCTTTTCTAGATCTTTTGTGATCACTGTTATGGAACCCAGCAGAATTGCAGAGCATTTTGACCAGCCCATTTTGATCTCAAATTTGATGGCCTATTCTATCTGTATTACATCAATAAGTCAATTTTCATAGTAAGATGTATTGAGTCTGGAGATCTCTGTCTGGAGATGTGAATGCTAATTGTAAGAACTCAGCTGAATTGTCTGCAACATCTACAATCATGGAAGACATTTTCTTTAGGTATGTTTTTCCTCCCTGCAGTCCCATTTCACAACAGCATTTGACATGCTCACCTTTGAGTACACAAATGGATCTTGTATGTGGAAATTGGATGATCTGCCTTCTTGATTTATTGAATGAATGATTTTTCAAATTTCTTGATGACTACAATGAAAAAAGGTGGAGTCATCTGTGAGGATGAGGAATCCACTCTGACTTTCTTGTCAATCAATCTTGAAGTTGTAAGCACAAAGTCTCACTTGCATTTATGATAAGAAAAGAGAGACCCAGCAGTTATTATTGTTACTTGGTTCTTCATATAGAAGAGACAGATGATGTCTCGTTTTTGATCTTCCTACACATTGTTGAACCTTTGTACAAGAATAGCCCCCTCACAGGTGTCTTTTGCTGTAATTTGATGTTTGTGAACATATTTTAACAGGCATTGTATAGTCAGCTAGCTGAAGTACCCTCTATTTGCCTGAGATTTTATTAATGTTAATAATCTATTTATTGGGAAAAATGAATTCTATGTATGGTGAATCCTCGCCCTTCTCTGCCCTGAACCACTGTGCCCTGCGCTGCCCCATTCCTTCCCCATCCCACCATTCTGCTTGCCTGTTCCGAATCTCTCTGTTGCCCAGCTCCACTTGCCCGTTTCTAATCCTGCCCTGACCTGCTTCACTCTGTCTCTGACTGTTGTACTCGGTCCTACTCACTCCATGTTTACATCGCTGTTTCAGGCAGTCATAAACAAATGTCTTGTTTGCTTACCCCTTACTCCTGAAATTTCCAATAACCATATTGAACTTCGATTTCTCTGAATCTGACTGTGCAATTGGAATGAATGAATGAATGAATGAATGTATATGTTTTTAGTAGGGGATTTTATTTATTTCATTTCAAACAGGCAGTTGCCCAATACATCAATGTAATACATAATGTATATTACATAAGTTCTGTTTATGTATGAGCTTTCAGAAATATTTAATGGTGAATTTACTTACTGTTTTTGAGATGATAGAGAAAAATGGAAAGGGTGTACACTAAGCTTTAAGAAAGGATGCTTTAAGGAGTAGGAAAGGAGGATAAGAGCAATTTTAAAGTAATCTCACACGTACAGTAAGTTTTCTTTTGTTTAGAAGGTCATAAGTACAAAATTTCATTAACATCGGAATAAATCTGGATGTGTGCTTCCAAGATGATTGCTGCTGATGTTGATAAATTGGTCGATAACTTATCCTTGGTTGGTAACCGTAGCCCTTCAAACTCTATTGTTTGTTGTGCATCCAAGAAATTGTTGTCGGTCAATTCCTCCAAGACTTAATGTTCTGGTTGTAAATCTATTTGCCAACCTAGCTGCACAATGAGGGTGAAGAATGAGGCAGGTGTTGCTTTCTCCTTATGTTGTGCTGGAGCGACTGTAAAATCTCTGGACTCAATTATGCGAACCCATGTTACCATTCTCAAAGAGTGATTATTAGCTTTTTTCAAGACCAAGTTTGATGAAATTAATGTTTGTTGACCTGCATACGAAATTGGATGATCTGACAGCAAGAATCAAAGTTCTGGAGAATTTGGCAAAAACCCCTGATACTAAAGCAATAGAGGATTCCTAATGAAGACATAATTGATGAGATTTAGGAACATTGAGTTTGTTCTTGTGCTGTGATATTCTTTAATATTCAGCTGAACTCTTTGCATGTCAACAATCGGGATAATTTTTATGGTACAACTGTGGTTCTTCCACATTTTCCATCTACTTCATCTGCCATTCAGGTTGGAAAACCGAGGAGTAACCCAACCTTTGAAGATGTCCTTTCCTGAAAAAAGTGATGTCCTTATTGTTTTGAAAACAAAAGCATTCTGAGACTTCTGGATATCCAGTGTAAGAATGATCTTACTCTCAAACAGCAAACTCATTTTTTAGACCCAATTTACACAATTGAACTGCTTTTTATCTGGGTTAATTTTTCTTTCTGAACAAATATATTATTTGTCAGTAATGAATAATTTAGATGTTTCTGCAATGCAAAAATTTGCCTAGAAAGCATTTTTTCAAACCAACTTTTGAGGGCTTATTGTGGCTCGGCCATTTGGAATATTTAAGGAGGTTATTAGGCAATATATGCCTACAATTGTCTTAGAGCTTATTTTTGAATCTTCGACGTATTCTCCCCGGACACACAGTATACGAAGTCTTTTCTTGCACCCTGGGGACTGTAACTACCATAAGAGAATGTAACCAATACTGAAGTAAACAGTGAATTTTCTTTTTAACTTTCAAGTAAAAATCTGAATCCAAGTCTTAAGTTATTTGGTCTTGGAAGAGAGAGTGTGTTGGTCCTGTATGCCTGCATATATAAGGATGTACACTAAAATATTCTTGACCATTTCTTTTCTATTTAACTCAGGCATGCACCTATGCATATGTTTTCCACAAATATGTATTTATTAATACGATTTTAACTAGATTTTCAACAATCACACACTTTACCTCTATATTTGTTCTGACTTACAACAAATTGAAATGTTTTTTAGACATATGAGATGTGATGGAGCCATTTTGGTCACTACTCCACAAATTGTTTCCGTAGAAGATGTTAAAAAGGAACTCAGCTTCTGTGAAAGAACAAAAATTCCAGTTTTAGGAGTTGTTGAGAACATGAGTAGCTACATTTGCCCAAATTGCCAGGCAAGTATTTTAAATGTACAAATGTAATTAATTTCTGACCAAATATTTAATTTTTATTGTTTAATCGTAACAGTTATCAACAGTTCATGAAAGGAATGATAGAGCACTGAATATGAGAGCCTTTTTCTTATGATGTATCAGTTTTTTATTTTTCACGGAATATAATTATACTATTTTATAAATTATGATAAAGATTTTCTAGTTAGTGAACAGAAATCCCATTATTTTTAGATAGTTTGTTGTTAAAGTTTCATAGGTTTTCAAAATTGTTGTCAAAAAATGGTAAATCATATTGTCTGGAATTGGTTATATTGGTAAATAACGTGACGTTGTATGTCACGACAGGACATGTTATTCACAACATGACAAGGTATTATTAAACAGACAAAACAATTTTGTAAAAGAAAAAGAAGAAGAAGAAGAAGAAAAAAACTGTATTCAGTAAAAAACTGTATATTTATTACAAAAAAAATTTTTGTATTTTGTAAACATTACTAATATTTCATTTGAAAAATGAGAAAGTAAGCATTGTATTAAAAAATGAACCAAAATAAACAAACTTAAAAGTTTAAACTGGCTGTACTCTACCTAGGTATGGCAAATCTCTATAAGTTCCATCCCTTGTCTGTTCCTACCATGTTTGTGTCTAGTGCTGGTTCAAATAAGATATTGTTTTCTTTAGGAATGTTCAAACATCTTCTCTGTGGGAGGCGGCAGGGCAATGGCTGAAAAGGCTGGAATACCTTTGTTGGCGGAACTGCCCATTGATCCAAGGGTGTGGCAGAGCATTGAGAAAAGAAGTAGTTGTGTGACCCTGATGCCTGAAACTACCATAGCAAAAAAATTTTCAGAACTAGCTCTTGCAGTTGTGAATGCTGTTGGAGAGAATAACTGAATGGTATAATAGAATGTGTAAGGAAGCTTCATGAAAGAGTTGAAGCTTTATTTTTGTGAATGTATGACTTGTGACATAGTTGTAAATTATTTGGCATTTTTAATTAAAATATATATTGTTCCAAAAATGTGCTCATTCTTTTCCTTGACCTCATTGTCTTGTTATTGTTGAATTTTGTCTTTTATCACAATTGCAAAATACCTGTTTCCTTACTTTCAAAATAATTGTAATAAAATTGAATGATATGAACAATAATTGGAGTGTTCCTTAACCCATTGTTGCTCAGGTTATGACATTTCATACACCAAACTTTGGAATATTTTTTTTCTGTTTTTTCACTATTTTGGAAATTTTATTTCTTCAATATATCTAGATGTTCTCGAAATATTTAAGAAACTTGGAATTCCTGCAAGCTAATGTTGATGTAGCCAAGACCACTGAAGTATTGTATGCACTTGAAAAGGGTGTATTTGTGATATCTGTCCATTAAAAATATCTAAAACAATGCTTTGCTGCTACATCTCTGGGCTTAAATCAAGAGGGAAACAAACTATGGTTGGTCTCCACCAAAGATTAGGGTGTATAAGGAGTTATAGTCTAATTACTTCTTTTAGCAAAATACGCTTTCATAACTAAGCCATTTGTGTTTTGGAGCACTAATAGTATAATTTAGCAACATAACAATAGCTTTGCTCTAAAAGTTGCAAATATAATATAAGCTATATAATATAAGCTGCTAGAGAGTACCAACAATGGCTTCAAACATGTGTGCAACGACAATGGGGAAACAGCTATTTGCACAAAATTATGTCCAGCATGAATGGGTTAATAAGGGACCAATTTTAAAATTCTTAGAGCGAGTGCATTACACAAAGTGAACACTGTTCATCAGAATCAAAAACTACGATTTTCAAAGAACAAAAATTCAATTTGGCAATCATTCTTCAAATTGATCATTCACCACCAGGAATCTCATAAAGCCTGTTCGGATTTGGAAAGATTTTCTGTCAGGATATGTTCTTTCTGCAAGTAAGCAATCAGCTTATCTTAAAAATGACATGTCAATAAAATAATCTCTGAAATATATGTGAAGGTGTTAGGTTGTAAATTCAAGGGAGGTTAATTCTTTAATTTTCTGAAAACAACTTTGAAATTTCTAGGACACGTCTGTGCCATCTTGTTCTTTCAGTTGACAAATCGGATGTGTGGAAAAATGTTCGTCTACTTGCTACTCTAAACATAATTTAAGTTTAAATTTGGGCAGAAATGAAAAAAATCTAAAAAGATTTTGAAAATTAATGAACTTTTTAATTATATTTAACTTGATAACAATTGCTGTAAAATCACTAGAAAGTTTTTCCAGAGAATTGTAATTCTAAGGAAGTAAGAAACATTCCAGAAGTGAGGTTTATTTGAATATTTGTGATTTAATTTTAGGATATAAACACATTCATTGAATAAATATCTAGATACTGGTGAAACATAATTTTTCTATTATTACTAAAAATTACTTTTACAAATTTGTCTGCTGAAGCCTTAAGAAGAACTTTGCTCATGTCAAAGGGGAATTAATCTTGAAGTAGTTACAATGACATCAGAAGCAGAAATGGAATTTTGAGAACCTCTTGTAAAAGTGATTTTCTTGATTAGCACATAATCCATAAGCATAAGCATAATAGCATAAAATCCTTGCACTCAAAAGGTAAAATTTAATGAAAAATTCTTTTTCAGAGTATTATGTAAGATCAGAGCTGTTTAATCACACTTTTTATATTCTTAAATTTCATTAGGTGAATTTAAATTTGCTGTGTAATCCTTTGTATCTTTATTCCTGATTTCTAATGCATGCTGAAATTGAAAGAAAACTGGGCAGCTTCTGACCATGTGAAAGGAGAATTTTTGTTTGATATAGAGGTGCCACGTGAACTTTTGTTGGTTACTAAGGAACTTGAAAAAATCCAGAAATTATGAAACCGCTTTAATTGTGGCTGAAAATTTAAAATATTCAATTGTGTTATTCTGTCTCTTTTTTATACTGAATGTTCTGACAATTTTCATATTCAGTGCATCCCTGCTAATGATACTTCTGACATGCAACATCGAAGATTCAAGGAAGAAGCTGTTCACTATTAAATATTTGTTATTCCCGTATTGCATTATGGAAGAGCAATTTGTTGTTCTTGAGCAGTGCAAGTGCTATTATTTTGATAACATATTTGGTGAGTAGAATTTTGGTGCTGCAGGCAGCTAGTATTCATTTTCAATATGTGATCAAGAATTTTACACAAAGGTTTACTCAATATGCAAGACTATGTAATAAAATATTGTTTAAAGAAGTGCAATGGATAAAAAATATTCCAAATTTATTCTCCTGACAGTTCTACAAAATTTATAAACAAAGGCAATTTAACTATTTAGAATTTAATTTGATTTGCAAGCTACACTGGTCCCACATTCTGGGGATTTGAATGTAGCGCGTAAAGTAGCATCCATGTTGGATGTTCAAACCTGCTCTCTTTAGCAGATATTGAGAACTAAGTCGACGTCTATGCGAAGTTTGTTTATCGACTTGTGGTTTTATGAGTACAAAAATGTGTTCGTTGCAGTGGTTCAGTTTATTATTTTGCTGTTTGTGATTGTAATAAGTGAAAGTGAGTACGCATACATTGTCCTTGTAGACGTTTCTTCAATATGCATGTACATTAATGCATGAAATTCTTAGAAGTAAGGAATTATCTTGCATGGTTTGACAGATATCACTTGCTTGAAAGCTTTTGTATTTACGAACAGTTTAACATGAATCGTATGAATTAAATGCATCCGTATTTTCATTTAAGATGAAAGTTCTCACATAAAGCTGTGAGATTACATTCGGTTTGAGCGTTTATATTAATAGGTTAGGGCCAGCGTATCTGGCGTATGGAAATTGCTCTTGACGTTGTGGTTTGTTCCGTGCCGGCCGAGGAGTACACTGTTAGCTGAATAGTGCCCGCTATTAATGAACAGTACATTAAACGCGCAATTTACAGCATGATTGTGTTAAGCGAAAGGATCGTCTTTGTGGATAACATCAGGTATGAGATACCTTTTGACATTGTACTATGAGAATGGAATGCAGGATTGAACACAAATATTTCCATTATGTATATTGGTCACTTAGGTATATTTATAGATATTTTCGAATACTTAAGCTTGTTCTCAGGATGAATGTCTTGTGAGAATCTTGTAGATTTTACTGGCGTAAAAACTACATGACTCTGCGTTCAAATTGTTTGTCGGGATTTTGTTTGGTGGTATCTTACTGCGATAATGCAATGTTATTGACGTTGGTAAAAAAATATATATTTACGGTTCTTCAAATAAGAGTTTATTTTAGAAGGCAAAGACATTCATTGAACTCTCCTGTGAAGATTCTTTATCAGTGTTGGGTGGGTTTAAGCTTGATGAACCGCCACGATAAGATTAAGCCGGACCTATCAACATAAACTATATAATCAGTTGAAATGTTTAGAACGAAGCAAATCTGCTCATTTTTTTCTTTCGGCATTTCTGTGATTTGCTTGACAAGAAATTATGCGAGGGCTCCTGGATCCCTTTCCTTTGCCGTAGCCACCGGTCTACACTTGCACCACGGAACTAAACCACTTTGACAGCATCTCCTCTTTCAAGGTACTCGTACACAAGGTACGGTAACGACTCATGAGCTCAAATGATAAGCCACTTCAAACCATCTAATGATATTTTACTTAAGCCAGAATTAACAAACAAACTAAAATGTAATAAAAAGTATTACAAAGAAGGAAAAATTATCAAATTAAATTATCCATATTTTACTGTCAGATTATGAATGGTAAGATAATGATTATAAATTATATATTCAATATTAAGCGGAAATTGCGCAGACAAAAACTATACTTACGGCGGCCTTTTCAAATTTTTATAATGCGTATTTTTCTGTCAATATTTGGACCGATTTTTTTAAAAGAAATCTCGGTTTCAAATTCGTAAGTGGGTTTGACATTTGACTCGATTATTTTACTTTATCAATTACTGCGTAAAAGTTAGTTAGCAGTGCTGCAGGAAATCGTATCGATATATTGCCGAAGAAAACGTGTTTTATAGCTCCCTGACACCGAAAAAGTGTTTTTCTTTTGCATGTACACAGTATATTGCTTTCTTGTTTACCACTGTACCGTAATTCAGGCAAATTACGTTTTGGGAATTCTTCACACTATTTTGTTTTCCTCAAAATGACGGGACGTCCATTTGTCCGTCTGTTAACGTCTGTTTGTACGTTCGTTCCTCTGTCTGTCCGCTCGTTAACATCCGTTTGGACTGTACGTTCGTTCCTACGACTGTTTGTCCGTCCGTTTCGTTCGTCTGTCTGTCCGTCCGTCTGTCCGTCCGTCTGTCCGTCCGTCCGTCCGTCCGTCCGTCCGTCCGTCCGTCCGTCCGTCCGTCCGTCCTTCCGTCCGTCCTTCCGTCCTTCCATCTGTCCGTCCGTCTGCTCACCATGTCATTTCATTTGTCCGCCCGTCTGTTTTGCCGTCTGTGTCCCTCTCCGTCTGTCTGTCCGTGCGACTGCCTGCCCTTCTGTCTCTGTCCGTCTATCCGTCTGTCCGTCTATCTGCCTGTCCGTCTTTCTATCCGTCCGTCTGCTCACCCGATAACAGCAGTAGCGCCTGAACCGTACATAAGATTTTCACTGAAATGCATATTTCCGATTTGATGACGCTGATGTTGGGGTCCTTGGAATTTGGAACGAATATTATAATTTTAGAGGGTAAGCTTTTAGGACATTTTCAATTTTTCAAAAGTTTCTTGATTTCTTTTATTATTGTTTTCTCAGTTAATGGTAAGTAGTATACAAATAGCGCCGATCTGATTTTCATTAAATACTCTCTTACTTGAAAAATTGCCGAAATTATAATTTTTTTTATTGTTATACGATTATTTAAAGTATTCGTCTTTTAAAGGATTTCAAGTCATCTGTTTTCAAAATATTAGTACCTTTCGAGAAATTGTGTGTTCCATCGTGAAAATTGTATTATATTCTACACTAGTATAGTTATAATTTTTTGCAGACGTCAACAAACAAGTAAGTTGATTGGTTTAGTGTCTGACAACTTACTATTGAGTCCGGAGTTTGATTCCCAGAAAAAAAATCAGTAAATTTTGTTATGATATTAATTCAGGTATGCCATAATTTCGATTATCATTAAAATCTGTGCTTTCTACTATTGCAATTCGAATCTGCCGCGTGTCTTTTGCTAAAGAAAATGTTCAAGAATTGCTGAAATAAATACATACAGTACAAGTACATAAATACATTGGGTACAAGTTTGAATATTATGTTGTGTTGCATTACCGTTAAAAATTATTCGAGAAAGAATGCACTTTTGTAACTCTAATAGATACGTGATTGATAATAACTCCTACTAGTTTCCTTTCGAATTTTGACGAACATATAAAGGAGACAAATGGTAAAATCGTTATGAAATGTATCAATTTGTGATTCAAAAAACTCCAAACGGGGTGTTGGAAATTAATTTACTTGTGATGACTATTATTCAAGATTAAGACACAATTCAGAAGCATAAACCACGTAATGTGACACTCCAATTGAGTATTACATGTTGTTCATATTTAGTTTGCTCTGGGCTTAATTTGTGGTGTTTATTTGTAAACCTAGTTGCCATATCTGATTTCACATTGAGCACATTATAACAAAACACCAAAAAATGGAAGTTCTACTTTATTTTCTCAAAGAATTTGCATTTAAAGTAAGACTCGCTATTAAGAGACATTTATGAAACAGTTATGTATTGTTTTTGAATGGGATATTAAGGATATTTTGCATCTTAATCGTGTTATGTTGCAGCATTTTGTGTGAGCAGAGATATAAAAAAATATTTAGCCCCAAATATTTTACGATTGATTAAGCTTGTTGACGGATTTTGAAACGAGTAACTCGATTGGTTATTCTTTGGGCCTTATTGAAGTAAACCGTAAACTGAAGACTACTTCGTCTATATAATATAATGAAAGTATAAGCTTTGCAATAATTTTTTTCGGGTTCACAGAACACAAAATATTCTTCTCTGAATTTTGAAATAATCCTAGTGAAAATTCTACTATTTAATTTCATCACCTATACCTAGATTGGGGTCAATGAATCCTGTTTCGATCAGGTTTGTCGTTTTCCGTGATCCAAGGAATAAATGCTGCTATGATAGATAGTAAATGTAAATAAATTATTTGAGATCGTTTTCTTGAACTCTAATTTGGCTGGATACAAAAGTTTTTTGTCAGCAGCACCATCGAATCAAATCTGTTGGTCGTTTTTCGATGCAAACAGTTTCTGATAGCCAACATTTCTTGTTAACAAATGTTGCTAGTAACTTTCATTAGATACCTTAATTCGTAATCCAAATGTGTGTAGTAAAAAAGAGATAATATGGAATCCAGAACTCAAGAAAATTGGCGCAGATTGTTACCTACTTGCCCCCATACGTCACGTACGAATGTGTTTGTTTTTTGACCATAAATGAATAGCCGATAAGGTTTGTTGTAGATGATTAGTATAGCAATAATGTTGATACATTATTGTAAATCATTGTTTCCGTGATATTTTATTGAGCAACTGTACTTCTCAAAATCGAATATCTGTCAATGAACGGAATTATTGGGGACATCAATCACTAATCTAGCAAATCAGAGCGATGAACTTCCTGATTAG